GATGAAGGGGAGGGCGGTGAGGACGGCGGTGAAGGCGGTGGTGAGGGTGGCGACGAAGGTGGCGGAGACGACGGCGGCGGCGAGGGCGGCGGTGAGGGCGGCGGCGAGGGCGGCGGCGGTGAGGGCGGCGGTGAGGGTGGAGGTGAGGGCGGCGGCGAGGGCGGTGGCGGCGAGGGCGGTGGTGGTGAGGGCGGCGGGGAGGTGGGCGGCGGGGTGGGCGACGCGGTAGGCGAAGCCGTCGGCAACCCTGTAGGCGAAGCCGTCGAACTGGGTGCAGAGGAGGGAGCGGCGGAGGGGGCGGAGGAGGGGGCGGAGCTCGAAGCTGACGAGGGCGAAGAGGAGGGGGCGGAGCTAGGAGCCGACGATGGAGAGGAGGAGGGTGCGGCGCTGGGCGATGACGACGGGGCAGAGCTCGGAGCTGACGAGGGCGAAGAGGAGGGCGCAGACGAGGGCGCGGAGCTCGAGGGCGGCGGCGGTGAGGGTGGTGGCGGCGAGGGCGGTGGCGAGGGCGGCGGCGTGGGGGGCGGTGAAGGGGGCGGCGGTGAGGGCGGCGGTGAGGGTGGAGGTGAGGGTGGCGGCGAGGGTGGCGGCGGCGAGGGCGGCGGCGAGGGCGGCGGCGAGGGCGGCGGCGAGGGCGGCGGCGGTGAGGGCGGCGGTGAGGGTGGAGGTGAGGGCGGCGGCGAGGGCGGTGGCGGTGAGGGCGGTGGTGGTGAGGGCGGCGGGGAGGTGGGCGGCGGGGTTGGCGACGCGGTAGGCGAAGCCGTCGGCGACTCTGTAGGCGAAGCCGTCGAACTGGGTGTAGAGGAGGGAGCGGCGGAGGGGGCGGAGGAGGGGGCGGAGCTCGAAGCTGACGAGGGCGACGAGGAGGGGGCGGAGCTAGGAGCCGACGATGGAGAAGAGGAGGGTGCGGCGCTGGGCGATGACGACGGGGCGGAGCTCGAACCTGACGATGGAGAAGAGGAGGGTGCGGCGCTGGGCGATGACGACGGGGCGGAGCCCGGAGCTGACGAGGGCGAAGAGGAGGGCGCAGACGAGGGCGCGGAGCTCGAGGGCGGCGGCGGTGAGGGTGGTGGCGGCGAGGGCGGCGGCGAGGGCGGCGGCGTGGGGGGCGGTGAAGGGGGCGGCGGTGAGGGCGGCGGTGAGGGTGGAGGTGAGGGTGGCGGCGAGGGTGGCGGCGGCGAGGGCGGCGGCGAGGGCGGCGGCGAGGGCGGCGGCGAGGGCGGCGGCGAGGGCGGCGGCGATGAGGGCGGCGGTGAGGGCGGAGGTGAGGGCGGCGGCGAGGGCGGTGGCGGCGAGGGCGGTGGTGGTGAGGGCGGCGGGGAGGTGGGCGGCGGGGTGGGCGACGCGGTAGGCGAAGCCGTCGGCGACTCTGTAGGCGAAGCCGTCGAACTGGGTGTAGAGGAGGGAGCGGCGGAGGGGGCGGAGGAGGGGGCGGAGCTCGAAGCTGACGAGGGCGAAGAGGAGGGGGCGGAGCTAGGAGCCGACGATGGAGAGGAGGAGGGTGCGGCGCTGGGCGACGAGGACGGGGCGGAGCTAGGAGCCGACGATGGAGAAGAGGAGGGTGCGGCGCTGGGCGATGACGACGGGGCGGAGCTCGAAGCTGACGAGGGCGAAGAGGAGGGGGCGGAGCTAGGAGCCGAGGACGGGGAAGA